ACCATGCGTTATATCATTCCTTAAAATATTTCATTTTAAGAAATGATACTCTTTAAAATCTCATTTCCAAAATCATTGGAAAACTTAATAGCATTATTCATGCTATTTCTTTTAAAATCATATTCTTTCAACATGTTTTATTCTAAAACATTTTCATTCGCCAAAATCATTTAAAGGCTAACAAGAATATGGACAAAAATATCCTACCTCTCAGATGTCAAACCTGGGCTAGCCTTTCGTTCTCCTAGCCTCCGCTTTCCTTAAAACTTTAATACTTGACATTCTCCACTAGCTTTATCACAAAAGCAATGTCTTAGGATATATTCTCATTCCTAAAACGAATTAAGCTCAATCATGTTTAATTGTTTCCTATTAGTGTACCTTGACTCAAATCCAAGTTTCATAAACGATTTTTATAATCAGTTTGGGGGATCTTTAAAGATTGAAATCCAATTCATGGATTTGGTTTCCTATTTAATTTCAGCTTAAAAATAACTTTTTAAAGAAATTTCAGCAGCATGCCTACATAAATAGGAAAAATGTCAAACTTGCAATTCAAGTTCAATTTCAAAATAAATTCTCCAGAAATCATCAAAACCAGTTTCCAATCAATTCAACAAGTTGAATAACTGAAAACCCCCAAATTTCATTCAATTCTAACAACAATTGTTCAAATCCAAACCCTAACTCAAAATTATTCAAATCTAACCAAAATTTTAAATTCTCAAATTAATAACTCAAATTCAAGTGTGGATTTTCAAGAAATTTTTACCTCAAAGTGATTGAAGCTCGTTTTCCCTCTATTTCTCTCATTTTCATTTTTTTCTTCTTCTAAGTTCGGCCAGCAAGCCAAGAGAGAGAGAGAGAGAAACAACCGGAGAGAGAAACGGCCGGCGTGAAAGAGAGAGCCCGGAGAGAGGAAGAACTGGCGTGGAAGAAAAAAGAGAGAGAGATGCAGTGGTGAATGTGAAACTAGAGGAGAGAGAGAGAAAAGAAAAAGAAAGAAAGAAAGAGAGAGGGAGGGGTTGCAACCACGGGAAGGAAAAGGAAGGAAAGGTAAAAGAAGAAAAGAAAAAAAAGAAAAAAGAAAAAAGAAAGAGGGAAAAATGAAAAAAAATGCATTAAAATTTAAGTGTATTTTCAAAAAATTTTGGAGTGAAATCATAAATATTGAAAATAATTTAAAGTTCCTTGATTAATTGTGAAAATCAAATTAGGCATACTAATAACTCACAATTTAGCATAATTAAACATGTTTAATTCTAGATGGCGTTACATAGATATGTTCCCGAGTTGAGAAGGAATCTTGTATCTCTTAGTGTCTTGGATTCATCCGGGTGTACACCTACAAATCTGAAAAGGGAAATTTGAGAGTTCTAAAAGGTTCACTAGTGGTACTCAAAGGCAAACTACAACATGGTCTCTATGTACTGCAAGGGACAGTAGTGACACATACTGCAGCAACTGCCATTAAAGAGTCATATGAGACTCTTATTTGGCACAAGAGGCTTGGACATATTGGCATGAAGAGACTGACAGAATTGGGCAAGCAAGGAGTCATTGATCCAAAGAGAATAAGTTCCCTTGACATATGTGAAGCCTGCATCTTTGGAAAATCACACACGTTGAAGTTCTCTCATGCAACATATAAGGCAAAGGAAGTTCTAGAGTATGTACACTCAGATTTGTGGGGATCCTCAAAGGTACCTTTCTCACTTTCTAATTCTCAATATTTTATCTCTTTTATTGATGATTTCTCTAAGAAAGTTTGGACATTTTTTAAAAACTAAAGATCAAACTTTTGAGAAATTTAAAGAATGGAAACAATTGGTTGAACTCCAAACAGGTAAGAGAATTAGGAAATTTAGAACAGATAATGGTCTTGAATATTGTAAAGAGCCTTTTACTAGTTTTTGCATCCAAAATAGGATAGATAGACACTGGACTTGTATAGAAACCCCTCAGCAAAATGGCATTGCTGAGAGGATGAATAGAACCCTGTTAAACAAGGTTAGATGCATGTTGCATGAATCAGGTTTAGGTACGAAATTTTGGGCTAAAGCTACTTCTACTGCATGTTACTTAGTAAACCGATCACCAACATCATCTATAGGTTTTAAAACCCCTGATCATGTATGGACAAGTAGACCACCTAATATTGATCACCTTAAACCTTTTGGGTGCATTGCTTATATGCACAAGAATCAAGGGTAACTTAATCCTAGAGCAAAAAAGGCTATGTTCATAGGATATCCACGTGGGGTTAAAGGTTTCAAATTATGGATTATAGATGATAAGAAATGTGTTATATCTAGGGATGTAATTTTTAATGAAACTGTTTTTTTGTAAAACTGACCATGATAACCAGTTCTCTGAGCAATCAGATGAGCAACTTGTAATGTTCACCTTTGAGTTAGGATATCCAAATCTTCAAACCACTACAGCTCAAAGAGGAGATGTTGATCAAGGTGGAGAAAATGGAGAGAATGGTGATCAACAACAACATTTTGAAGAAAATGATGCTGCTACTAGTGCTACTGGTGTTGAAACCGAAACCACTGATGTTATCATCAATGGTGATCAAAATGACCAACTTGATGAAGAAGATGCAGCATTAGAGGATACTAACAACCTCTCAAACTACATTCTTTCCAGAGATAGGCCACGAAGAGAAATCAAGCCACCAACACGTTTTGCTCATGCTGATATAGTTTTCTCAGGTCCTCAATATTGGTGACACAATAGAACTGGAGGAGCCCACCAGTTTTGAAGAAGCATGCAATAGTAAGTTCAAAGAACATTGGCTGCAAGCAATAAGGGAGGAAATGGAGTCTCTCATGAAGAACAAGACTTAGATTCTTGTTAAGAAGCCAGAAAATAAAAGAATAGTTCACTGCAGATGGATTTTTAGAAGAAAACCAGGAATTCCAGGTGTTGAACTAGCAAGATTCAAAGCTCGGGTTGTAGCAAAAGGTTACCCTCAAGTTGAAGGAGTGGACTATCATGAAGTTTTCTCTCCTGTCATCAAGCACTCCTCAATCAGGTTATTGTTGTCCTTAGTTGCTATGAAAAATCTTGAGCTACAGCAACTTGATGTTAAGACTACTTTCCTGCATGGGAATCTTGAGGAGCAGATCTTCATGGAACAGCCTAAAGGTTTTATAAAGAAAGGGACTGAACAGTTGGTGTGTCTCTTGAAAAAGTCCTTGTATGGACTAAACAATCTCCAAGGCAATGGTATAGGAGATTTGACACCTTTAGAAAAGGGATACAAGTGATCCAAGTTTGATCATTGTGTTTATCTCAAAGAACTGAAAAACAAGATGTTCATCTATTTGTTAATCTACGTGGATGACATGCTCATTGCTTGTCAAGACAAGGAAGTGATCAACAAGCTTAAGAGTACTCTCAAAAGAGAATTTGAGATGATAGACTTAGGGGAGGCAAGAAGAATATTGGGGATGGACATCAAGATAGATAGGAATAAAGGGTATCTCTCACTGTCCCAATCTGGATACATAAAGAAAGTCCTAGAGCTGTTTGGTATGAGTGAAGTTAAAGCAGCCTCAATTCCAATTCCTGTCCACATTAAGCTCAAGTCAGTAAAAGGTGAACTGCCTGAAGATGAAGCTACCTACATGAAGTACATCCCTTACTCAAATGTGGTAGGAAGCTTGATGTATGCAATGATTGGCACTCGTCCAAATATTGCATATGGAGTCTGCCTTGTGAGTAGGTTTATGAGTAACCCTTCAAAGGAGCATTGGAATGCTGTAAAGTGTATTCTCAGATACTTGAAAGCATCTGCAGAAGTCAGACTTGTGTACAAATCACAGGATGAAGGTGGAGCTTTGATTGAAGGATATTGTGAGTCAGATTATGCAGCTGATTTAGATAAAAGGAGATCTGTCTCAGGATACATGTTCACAGTTGGAGACAATGTGATAAGCTGGAAATCAAATCTACAACACATTGTGGCATTGTCTACTACAGAGGCAGAATATGTTACTCTTACAGAAGCATTCAAGGAGGCAATATGGCTGCAAGGAATCACAGAGGAACTTGGAATCGAGGATGAGTCTGCTATTGTACACTGTGACTCACAAAGTGCTATACATCTCTCTAAGAATCATGTGTTTCATGAAAGAACAAAACACATAGATGTGAGATTACACTTTGTGAGAGACATTATAGCTCAAGAAAGGATTAAAGTAGAAAATATTTCTACTTTGAAAAATCCTGCTGATATGCTCACTAAAGCAATTCCTGTTGGTAAGTTTGAGCAAGCTTTAAGCTTGCTCAATGTGCTACCAACATGATGAGTTTTAGTAAGTGCAGAGGTCTAGTCTCAATTCACTATAAATTTGAGTCAAGGGGGAGTTTGTTAATAATGTGACTCTGATTTATGAGTTGGTTATTAACAGGTTAAGTTTGTTATAACTACTGGGACTGTAGCCCAAGTAGTTGTTGAGATAAACTTAATTATCTTAGTTAACCAATTGTGATTAATTTCCTGACTCAGGTTAATATTTTACATGTAGTATAAAAAATAGAAACTGTAGAAAGTAAGTCAACAAGTCTTTTATTTCTGTTTTATGCTTTCTCTTTCTAGAACAGAGTTTGTATTTCTCGGTGAGTGCTAGAGAGAGAAACTGTGAGAATTTCTGGGTAAGCTTGGGATATTGAAACTTGTAATCAAGAGATTCATCAAGAGTGAGAGCTGTGAGTTTGTAATCTGTTTTCTGCATAATAGTGGATTGGACTGGAGGTTTTTCCAACCTCTGCCCTTGGATGTAGGATTTCCCAGAAACCCGAACCAAGTAATTCTTGTGTTGTTCTTCTTCTTCTTCTACTTCTTTTCTGTGTATGATTCTTGGAAGACATTGGCCTTAGAACAACACTATTTATAGTCTTCTTTATAAATTTAGTTTGTCGTTTTCAAGTTTCAACATGTACCAATAATTGCACTAAATAAAACTTGTTATCGATTGTAATTACACCTGTTTTGTGGTGACAATATATATACTTGAACTAGAAAACTTTAGAGCATCGGCAACACCTGGATAGAACCTGCAATGTATGCATTATCTGATGTAAAAATGAAAATACTAAATAAAAAGTAAGATGTTCAATAAGCTTGGACTACAATATCACATCAAAACAAGTTCACTGCTGATAATATAGTAACACTTCCGATCAACAAATCATTGTAAGCATCAATTTTATATAGAGAAGCCACAAGGTAGCTTGATCAATAGAGAAGGCAATGGGAAATACTTCAAGTATTTACATAATCTGGACCAAACACATAATAATAAAGAATGAACTGTTGGTTCATGAAACCTAGAGAGACAACATGAAAAGTTTTTCTTAAGAGATTAAAATGATGCATAATTGTTTATTCATGATGTGAAACCAGGTAAAAAAAACCGAGTTCAGTAAGCTTCCTAAATGGAAGATTCTAAAGTAATGCAATGTACTTAAAACTATCTAGATCCAAGACGAGTCTTAACAGACTAGTTACCTGTTAAAGTTTTAACACATATTTTTCTAACTACGGGTAGATTTATCCACGTGTATGCAAAACTTCTGAAATGGCTAGTAGATTTTATCAGTGTGTATTTTCAGTGACAACTGGTACGAGAGACCTTAAATCAAACGACAAAAGATAATATTACGTTTTTTTTTTTTTTTTCTCATGATATGTTCATTAAGAAATACATACGGCATATTGAATACCTATTTGCACCAATCCAAGATGCTAAGTCCTTCTCCATCCATTCATCTCTCACCTTTCCAAAAAGGTCTATAAGTTCTTCTCTTTGCTCACCCCATTCTTCCATGATGATTGGCTTCAACTTTAACCAGTTGTCCAATATCCTCTCCACAGTGAGCCCTTCCGAAACCTAGCACATTGAACTATGATCATCCAGTGCAATCTACTTTTTCAAAAAGTGACTGAAAATTTGAAATATTCCCAATTGATGGTGTTCGATTCGAAGCAATAATTTAATGCCATGACTTTAACTAATTCTTTTCAAACAGATCAAATGACGCATGTGTGCGTGTGTGCCCGAGTGTGTGTGTGTGTGCGCGCGCGCGCGCATGTGTGTGCGTGCGTGTCTAATATACTTACTGAGGATTTCCGAATTGAAGGTAATCTCATCTCCAGCAACAACCTCACAAGTAAGAGATTTTCATATCCAGTTTCCACCACAGGTCGCACCTGCCACATCAGGGTCATTAATCAGATATAAAGACAGACATTTCAAGATCCCTTTTCTCCACAGGAGAAATTGCCTCCATTTTTCGACTTGAAGTACACTTTTTTTTTCTTCTGAAACTTCGAAGTACATGTTTTCAACATACTAGAAAACAATTATTTGTTTTTGAGAACATCTATATCAATATTAGAAAATGGACAACTACTATGGCCTCTGTAGCATTTTGGACAAGTTTTCCCTATTTCTTGAGGTGTGTCAGTTGGAAATGGTTTTCAAATTGCATGTGGTTCCAATTTTCACTGAAAATGGAAATAAAAAAGAAAATTTTCTTTTATATTTAGTTGAAGAATGAGAAAACACCCTAAAGCCGTTTTTCCTTATTCGTTGTCATTTTCTAGGACTTATATACTCAACATATACTTGCAAAAACGTAACCAAACACATTTTCACTTTTCACGTATGCCAAAAACAATCTCTCTAGACAAACAACCTACCTCAATCTCAGCAAAGATTCCAACAACATTTCCAAAAATTCACATTTTCATTTTCACACTCATTACAAAACCAGTATCAGAAATATTAGGTCTTCAAAACCAAATTGCTCTTTTTTTTGGCTAATGGAGTTCCAATTCACTCTATTAGTAAGACAACGATGTAAGAGAATTAGATAAATTATTGAAAAGTCCAATCAAATTTCATTAGTTTTGCAAGAGCTTACAATGTGCATCTGATCAACAATCCAATCCACCACAGTCGAATCCACATCGTCGAATAGATTCGGCCACCTCACTTTAGCAGCCTACAATAATCCATTATCATCAACGAATTAGGCACATACACAAACAATTGAGTATAAACCCTAAACCTCCGTTCTGTTTCCAAGACGTGATAAATAAATCAACTTCCCAAAAGATCTTAATCAAATTTGAAAGAAAAACAAAAGAGCAAGAGCAAAAACATAGCATTAAGACCATATTTTAAGTTCCAAAATTTCGTTTTCCTTCACATTCTCTGTCCATTTTCGTTTTCTCGGGAAACAATCAATCAGATAGAAAGAGAAGGAACCTTGACAGCAGAAAGAGAGCTCTCTCCGCAGCTGTCGCAGAGCACTCCATCGAAGTCCAAAGCGTACAAATCCGCCATTTCTTCTCGCTCTTGTCTCTCACACAATTACGTTCTTCCTTTCACATTTATATGTCTTTTTTCTCTTTTTTCTCTTTTTTTTCTTTCTTTCTTTTTTCTTTTTTTATGATAATATCAACGTTACCCGCCACTGATTTAACAATAACTGGATTTTGAGATACATATGTTTCAGCAAACAAAAACCCGCCACGTATTAGATTCCATTTTAACCTAATCTAATCTAACAATACATAAAAAATAAATAAATAAATAAATAATAAAAAAAGCTCTTGTAACATAAATATTTACTTAGGTTGGCACGTGAAGCGTTCTTCTACTCTCTTTTTTTTTCTTTTTTTTTAGAAGTTTTTACGGTGAGATCCTTAAAAAAAATTTACCGGTAGAATATTTTATTTTTATCATTTGATTAAGTTTTTAACGGTTAAATCTGTGCAGTTCCGTATTAAAAATTTATAATGCGCCATGAAAAACTGTTTTTTTACAGATATGACCATTGAAAAACGTCTTTTCATTTTTTGAGGCCATTTTTTGCTGATATGCTTAGAAAAATGTAAGGATCAAGTGTGTAAAATTTCAAAAATTTTTGACGTCATTTTTATTTTATTTTATTTTATTTTTCAAAGGTGAAGAACACAGAAAATCATAAAAAATAGAATATACATCAAAAAATTGGTGCCGCTTTTTGCGTTAATTTTTAAAAATCATGTACTAATTTTAGAATGCAAAACATAAGTAAAAATGTGACTGTTTGACCCATCCCGGCCCCTGGGCGCCGGGGACTTTTTGACAGCGTTTTTCTTTTTTTATTTTTTTAGGCCATTTTTATGCAGGCATGCTCAGAAAAATCTAAGGGTCGTGTCTACAAAATTTCATAATATATTGACGTTGTTTTTATTTTATTTTTCAAAGCCAAAAAATAGAGAAAATCATAAAAAATAGAATATGCATCAAAAAATGGGGCCGCTTATTGCATTAATTCCTAAAAATTGTGTATTGATTTTAGAATGCAAAACATAAATAAAAAAGTGAATTTTTGACCCATCATGGCCCCTGCGCGCCCCACTGTGCAGGCCGGGGGATTTTTCACGGCATAGTTTTAAATTTTTTGAGGCCATTTTTTGCAAGCATGCTCAGAGAAATGTAAGGATCGTATCTGCAAAGTTTTAGAAGTTTTTTACATCATTTTTATTTTATTTTACTTTTCAAAGGTGAAAAATAGAGAAAATCATAAAAAAATAGATTATACATCAAAAAATGATGCCGCTTTTTGCGTTAATCCCTAAAAATCTTGTATTAATTTGAGAATGCAAAACATTAATAAAAATATAAATTTTTGACCCATCCCGGCCCTTGAGCACCCCACTGCACGGGTCGGGGGCTTTTTGACAGCGTTTTGTTTTTCATTTTTGAGGCCATTTTTTGCAGACATACTGGGAAAAATGTAAGGATCGTGTCTCTAAAATTTGAGAACTTTTTGACGTCATTCTTATTTTATTTTATTTTTTAACGGTAAAAATAGAATATGTATCGAAAAAGGGTGCTGCTTTTTGCATTCAGTCCTAAAAATCATGTATTAAATTTAGAATGGAAGCATAAATAAAAATGTGAATTTTTTACCCGTCTCGGACCCTGGACGCCCCACTGCGCGGGTCGGGGACTCTTTGACAGGGTTTTTCCTTTTTAATTTTTTGAGGCCATTTTTTGCTGATATGCTCAAAAAAATGTAAGGATCGTGTGTGCAAAATTTAAGAATTTTTTGACGTTGTTTTTATTTTATTTTACTTTAGTTTTCAAAGGCGAAGAATATAGAAAATCATAAAAAATAGAATATACATAAAAAAATTGGTCCCCCGTTTTGCTTTAATTCTTAAAAATCATGTATTAATTTTAGAATGCAAAACATAAATAAAAATGTAAATTGTTTACCCATCATGACCCTTGGGCGCCCCACTACACGGGCATGTGACTTCTTGACAATGTTTTTCTTTGTTCATTTTTTTGAGGCCATTTTTTGCAGGCATACTAGAAAAAATGTATGGATCCTGTCTGCAAAAGTTCAGAATTTTTTGACATCATTTTTATTTGATTTTATTTTTTAAAGTTAAAAATAGAGAAAATAATAAAAATTAGAATATTAATCAAAACATTGTGCCGCTTATTGCATTAATTCTTAAAAATTGTGTATTAATTTTTGAATGCAAAACATAAACAAAAATATGAATTTTTAACCCATCCCGGCCCCAGCGCTGGTCGAGGGCTTTTTGACAGCATTTTTCATTTTTCATTTTTTGAGGCCATTTTTTGCATCCATGCTCAAAAAAATGTATATATCGTGTGTGCAAAATTTCAGAATTTTTTGACTTCCTGTTTTTTATTTTATTTTCAAGGTGAAAAAAAAAAGAAAATCATAGAAAATAGAATATTCATCAAAACATTGTGCCGTTTGTTGCATTAGCTCCTAAAAATTGTGTATTAATTTTATAAAGCAAAACATAAATAAAAATGTGAGTTTTTAAGCCATCTCGGCCACTGGACGCCCCAGAGTGCGGGCCGGGGCTTCATGAAAACATTTTTCTTTTTTCAGTTTTTGAGGCCATTTTTTGCACCCATGCTCAGAAAAATGTAATGATCGTGTCTCCAAAAGTTTAAAACTTTTTGACGACGTTTTTATTTTATTTAATATTTTAACGATGAAAAATGGACAAAATCATAAAAAAATCGAATATACATAAAAAAATAGTGCCATTTTTTACATTAATTCCTAAAAATCATGTATTAAATTTATAATGTAAAACATAAATAAAAATGTAAATTTTTTACCAATCTCGGCCCATGGGCGCCCCACTGTGCGGGTTGGGGACTTTTTGATAGCGTTTTTCTTTTTTCATTTTTTACAGGCATATTCAAAAAAATTTAAGGATCGTGTCTACGAAAGTTCAAAATTGTTTGACCTCGATTTTATTTTATTTTATTTTTCAAAGGTGAAAAATAGAAAAAAAAATCATAAAAGGTAGAATATACATCAAAAAATGGTGCTACCTTTTCGCATTAATTCTTAAAAATCCTGTATTAATTTCAAAACGTAAAACATAAATAAAAATAGAAATTTTTAACCCATCTCGGCCCCTGGGCTCAGCCCTGCACGGGCTCAGCCCTGCACGGGCTAGGACCTTTTGACAACGTTTTTATTTTTATTTTTTGAGGCCATTTTTTGCTGATATGCTCAGAAAAATGTATGGATCGTGTGTGCAAAATTTTAGAATTTTTTGACGTTATTTTTATTTTATTTTATTTTTCAAAGGTGAAGAATACAAAAAATCATAAAAAATATAATATACATCAAAAAATTGGTGCCCCCTTTTGCTTTAATTCTAAAAGTCAAGTCTTAATTTTAGAATGCAAAACATAGGTAAAAATGTGAATTTTTTACCATTCCCGGCCCTTGGTGCCCGACTGTGTGGGTCGGGTGCTTTTTGGTAGTATTTTTCTTTTTTCATTTTTTGTAGGCATGCTCCGAAAAATGTAGAGATCGTGTCTACAAAATTTCAGAATATTTTGTCGTTATTTTTATTTCATTTTATTTTTCAAATGTCAAAAATAGGAAAAATCATAAAAAATAGAATATACAAAAAAAATGGTGCCACTTGTTGCATTAATTCCTAAAAATTGTGTTTTAATTTTAGAATACAAAATATAAATAAAAATATCAATTTTTGACCCATCCCGGCCCATGGGCACCACACTGCGCGGCCCGGTGACTTTTTGACAACATTTTTCTTTTTTTAATTTTTTTAAGGCATTTTATCCAGGCATGCTCAGAAAAATGTAAGGATCGCGTCTACAAAATTTCAGAATATTTTGACGTCGTTTTTATTTCATTTTATTTTTCAAAATTAAAAAATAGAAAAAATCATAAAAAATAGAATATACATAAAAAAAATGGTGTCGCCTTTTCTGTTAATTCCCAAAAATCATGTATTAACTTTAGAATGCAAAACATAAATAAAAATGTGAATTTTTGACCAATCTCAGCCACTGGGCACCGTACTATACGAGCTGAGGGCTTTTTGGTAGCGTTTTCTTTTTCATTTTTTGAGGCCATTTTTAACAGGCATGCTGAGAAAAATGTATGGATCGTGTTTATAAAATGTCAAAATTCTTTGAATTCATTTTTGTTTTATTTTATTTTTCAAAGTCAAAAAATAGAGAAAATAGTAAAAAATAATAGCGAAAATAATAGAAAATAGAATATTCATCAAAACATTATGCCGCTTATTACATTAATTCCTAAAAATCGTGTATTAAGTTTAGAATGTAAAACATAAATAAAAATATTAATTTTTAACCTATCCTGGCCCCTGCGCGCCCCACTGCGAGGGCCGGGGGATTTTTGACATAATTATTTTTTAAATTTTTTATGGCCATTTTTTGCAACATGCTCAAAAAAATGTAGTGATCGTGTCTACAAAATTTTTGAATATCTTAACGTCGTTTTTTATTCTATTTTATTTTTCAAAGCTGAAAAATAGAGAAAATCATAAAAATAGAATATACATCAGAAAATGGTGCCGCCTTTTGCATTAATTCCTAAAAATCATGTCTTAATTTTAGAATACAAAGCATAAATAAAAATGTGAATTTTTGACCCATCTCGGCACTTGGGCGCCCCACTGCACGGGCTGGGGGCTTTTTGGCAACGTCTTTTTTTTTTCATTTTTTGAGGCCATTTTTTGCAGGCATGTTCAAAAAAATGTATGCATCGTGTCTGCAAAATTTGAGAATATCTTGACGTCATTTTTATTTTATTTTATTTTTTAAACCTGAAAAATAAATAAAATCATAAAACTAGAATATACATAAAAAAAAATGGTGTTGCTTTTTGCATTAATTCCTAAAAATTATGTATTAATTTTAGAATATAAAGTACAAATAAAAATGTGAATTTTTGACCCATCTCGGCGCTTGGGCGCCCCACTACACGGGCTAGGGGTTTTGTAGCAGCGTTTTTCTTTTTTCATTTTTTGAGGTCATTTTTTGCAGGCATGCTCAGAAAAATGTATGGATCGTGTATGTAAAATTTCAGAATTGTTTGACGTCATTTTTATTTTATTTTA